TCAGGCTTAATATTTATCTGTAGATACCCCCAAAGCTTTTTGCTTACATTATTTAATGACCTTAACAAAGTCTTATTTAATGTTTTAATAAAGCCTAATTGTTGTCTTTTTTGCACTCCTCCTCTTAATATCTTTGTAATCCGGCACTAAACTGTTTTTTTCTAGTATCATTTACAGTATCTCTTGATATTTTCTATCTATATTTCTATCATTGACTTTCTACTTCCGTCCTATTTTGTAGTGTACTCTTGTATTTAACTGTTTTTTCATCAATAACATATTCCAACAAAACATGGGCGACCTTGGGCAAGGCAGTTTATTTATTACCGCACCTTTCACACCAGTGCCAATTCAAGTGCTTTACAAAAATGAAGACTTTAGAAAAAGGCATTTAAAAACAGTCTTAAAAGCAACACAATCTACCTGCATCTGCATTACTCTATCAACGTGTAAATACGTGCTTACACTGATGGTGGCGGGTTAAAAACTGTCACGTTACAGTGTTAACACCTAGTTACTATGTTATTATAGTATTTAATAAACCTAATAATATTAAACAAATTACCATTAACTTTTTGTGAAAATTAAACAAAAGAAACGGTAAAAACTAGTCTATCTGCATGCCGTCTTCTGTAGATAAAATAACGAACTAAGCCAGTGTGTAATATTTATGCGCCGAACATTTATTACAATGCATCTTATGTGATGACTTTCAAAGAGTAAGCAAGCACTGGCTGAATAAAGTATGGATTTCATAGTTTTACGAAAGTTTTTCTTATATGGAACAGTCGGAGGCTCAACCATCACAGAGCTGAGGGGATACACGGGGTTTTGTCGGCACACGCGCATGGTGTAGTCTCAAACGATAACAGAGGGTCTGGGTAGTGTAGTCTCTTCGGCCTCCTAAACTCCGATAACTATTGTTTCTCAGATCGACGGAGAAAAGCCACACAGGCCATTGTTTTACACAATTTACCAATCTATATGTTGTGTTAATTACAAGGATACCTAGGTGTGGTTTGAGTTGATGAGTGTGCAAGATATCACTGTAAATCAATCGACGTAAGGACGAATACTTATTCCGGAGTGTAAAATCTCCGTTTCAACTGTTGCCGACATGGACGGATGCGCCGGTGGCTTCACCCCCCCCCGCCCCGCCTCTTTTTGGGGAACCCGTCAAATACCGCCGCCGGGATGGGAATCATTGCAATCGTTGAAGCTCTTTGCGTCCCCTTTATGAGCTGGAAGTGGATCGGCCGGACTGATTTCTCAATGTCGAGGAAAGCTGCTTCATAGCCACTATTTCAAGCATACTAACCGTCATCGAGGTGCCGCGAACGGACTGTTCCAGATGTCTAGGATACTTGAATTCTACCCGGCCCGGCCCGTACTTCGTAGCGAAGAAATTTCGACGGCCGCACAATGTGATAAGACTCCGCGTTTAACAATACCCAACATGCTTTGTGGCAGGACCAATTTCCCCAAATCTGGGCGGGAATTAAGGCGGCCTCTCATTATGGCGCACACCGTGCACCTTGCTCGCCGTGTTCCCACTCTCGTTTCCGGAAATGCAGGAAGGATTTTGCCTCGCTTCTGAAGCAAGTGACTCGGAAGAATGTGCTTACAAGCAAGCGTACTCGACATTGAGAAACACCCCCGTGCGTCCACACTGGTGCCAAAGGGACCCTGACCGCCTCGCTATTGGGATATCAGGGAGTGAGACCTGGGGTTTCTCAATGTGAGGAAGGCTGCTCCAGAGCCAATATTCAAGCATCACTACGTCATCGAGTGCCGTCCAAAGGCTGTTCAATGTCCACATACTTGGATATCTACGCGAGGCCGGCGTACGTCGTAGCTAGAATTTCGAGGTGACATGGTAGACTCTGCGGTCTGTAATCTCCACCGTGCTGTTGCCGTCACGGACCATTTTCCAATCTTTTGCGTAAATAGCGCTCCATTTAAGGCGGTGCTCGCATATGACGCCACACTGTGTTGCCTGTTCACAACTTCTTTGTTTCCCGAGGCTAGGGAGGATTCTTTGCCTCGTGCGTTCTGAAAGTGCTTGGAGAATGTGGCTTACCAGCAAGCGGTCCTCGACATTGAGAACACGCCACTGTGGTTGGTTGAACTCACATGAGCTTCAAACTGTTCTGAGAAACCATCTTTGGCGGAAGTGATGCCAAGGAGGATACGTCATTGTTTTTTATAGGCTTTGGTGTGACACACAATCTATTATAGCTATGATATGTTCTTCAATTCCTCTGAACACTCTGTTCTATCAAAATCCGGCCTCTTAAGCGGCCTGCTGTTGATCATTACTTGGCGCTTCACTATAAGTCCTTCCGACGTGCCGCAACAAGCCTTCCTCTCGGCCACTACTTCACTTTGCTCCTATTGATTGTTTCCCTGTGTTCCTGGGTGGAATTAATTCATTCCGCTGGACATCTTCAGTTGTTGAACTGCTTTACGCTTTGTTTGCACGCAACTACATTTTCCTGCTGTGGCCAGAGGCTCGTGCAGGGAGTTGATCAGCGGTTACGCGATCAAGGTAGGTTTTTAGTCTGGATGCCTCTCAAGCGGTCCTGTGTGTGGTCGAGGCGTGAAGCTATATCAGAACCGAGTCATTGGATTACAAGTCATTCGTAACCGCCAGGAGGAGCCGACGGCGTGGGATTACACACACGGTCAGTGGCTTTGTGGGTTGAGCCAGGCTTTCCTTAACTCCAGGCTCCGGGCTCAGTGAGTAATGGTCCCCCTGCACGGTACCCGGCACACGCCCGCAGGGCCAGGGAAATGTATGTGCTCACATGTATGTATGACAACCCCCCTCCTCGACTAGCCAGCAACAGAACGTCATTCGCTGCTCTGTCTTTTGTCCAGCCATCCACCACAAAACACGTATTTATGT